ATTTGAAATTCAACTTCGTTCTGTCGGTCGGCTGTTTTTCTGACATCAAAGGTTCCGAGGATCAAAAGAAATAACTAGAACCCTAATTCATGATAATATACTGTCGTGAAGTGGTTCCGTCGGCTACACCATTCGAAAGATCAAACAAGCTCTACTTCCCATTCACTGTCTTCACATAACACGAAACCATTCACATTCGTGTTGACTTTATGTTTGTTGGATCAATAGTCTGGAAATTTTCTCTCGTGGATGAGATCCTCGAGCAAAACTTACCCAATAAGTTAGGTGATACTGGTTCTGTACTCGTACACTCACCACAGCATTCCCGCAACGGACACTACTCAGTAACTTTACCCATCCAATAGCTCCAATGGAGACGCCAAGGAAACTGCAATATCATATTACCATTGCATCATGAATTTTCTTCGCCTGCAGTTAACCCATTCTAAGAAACACGGAGCCGCTTCCGACACAATATACTCGTAGCATCCAATAAAGTAAGGAATGAATAATACGTGTAAATAAGGATTTATTTTCAACTACCAGTACTGTACCCCATCTTCCCAAATAATCTTCCAAAATAGGACGCCAAGCTGCCCCAGCAACTCCCACGCTTTCCCTCATTGATACTACTCCCATATCCCCATTTGCCCGGACCACTCATAGTTGAGCTACTACCGGCGCTCTTGCTGCGGCGAACAATCTTCATACGCCGCCCCTCAACAGTCGCAACCGTCAGCACCGCACAAACTGCCACATCAACGATGTGATCGTTTGGGATTCGCCCGGTCGCTCGTGTGTTCACAAAAAGTAGGTTACGAGCAAAGTCCAACTCTACTATCGTTTCATTCGCGTCCACGTTGATAAGTTTGATGCTTCCAGTAGCGCCAGGATGGTCGAAGCCAACTCCCCCGGTGATCTCCACAAGATATGCGTCTCCACCCTCCGCCACAACGGGGTGGTAAAGGCAGTATCGTCGGCGTTGGGCGTTCCACGATAGCCGGCAGCATTCGGTTGTGTACGCCCTTTGTATAGCTTCTTTAGCACGGGTCTCTTGTGATTTTGATCGTGGATCAATGATAAGCATTCCGGTGTTGTGATCTCCGGTGAGAGGGGTGCTGGGGGACATTGCAGAAAGGACCGCTTCCTTCGGGTATATCATTGTGATAAGGCCATCACCCGCCGGAGATATCCGGCGGGATGGTGGTTCCAGACCCAGGATTATTACACTCAAATCCACGCCTGTCATGGGATCTCGGCGCAGGAGGGTGAGCTCATTGAAGGTTTCATCTTGCGGGGTCTCACGCATTGCATAAATCGAGTAGAATGGGTTGTTGGGAGAAGTGCCGAAAGTGAAGTGTTCGGGGAAGGATAAGGAGCGCGGGACCGGGTTTGGATGTTCCAATGGTGCTTGTCTGGTAGGTTGTTAGAGCAGTGGATCAATCGGATGGTTGTGGAATACTAACCGATACATATTCAGAACGAACGTTTTTCCTGTTTCACTCTGAGTGCCCGGTATGCGTTTTGCACCCTGGGCTACGCACCACAGACTAAGCAAGTCTGCCTGTGTGGGTTCACCGTATGAAAGTGTGCGGTAGGAAAGAAGGGTTGCGTTCAATGTATTCAGGTAGTGTGGTATCGGTGGAGGTGCTTCTCGGAAACCCGACATCTCGGGCACTGAGCCCCGCGTGGACTTAGGTGGGGTATGGTAGAGGCTATTGTTATTTGGTCGTTGCATGTGAAGCTCGTAGACGTCCTCCTCTAGAGGTAGCTCATCTTCCTCATCCCCTTCACCGGGGACGTACACCGTTGCCGGTAAAGGAGCAACACTTGAGGCATCTGATTTCCGATAGCAGTGTCCGGGATTGTAAACCGGCCTCTCTTCGACCGTCTGTGGTGGGATGGCTATTTCAATGGGGGGGGGAGAACGGACAAGACTGAACCTATCACCCTGGAGAATCCGTACCGGCGAATGTGATATAGCTGAGCTTCGCGAACGACTGGAGAGTTGAGATCTTCGTTTCGAACTCTGTGGGGGCGTAGAATATGGTGGAGTTGGCAGTGGATTGGGGACATATATTGGCAAAGGAATTGTTTCCCTCCTTCCGGTCCGAGACTTCCCTGTGGGTGAATCCTGGTGGATAATAGGCGGGAGCTTACCCATCTTCTTGAACTCCGGGGTAGCGTTGGGTGGTGAAGTTGGAGAGGAAATTCCATGGCCAGAGATAGGCGAGGAAACTTCCATCCTGCGGAATCTCGGCATGGGCGGCGACTCCTTTGGGGTCGGATCCCCTCCGAGTAGGTTCCTCGAGAAGAGACAGAGGAGGGGAGGCTAGATAGAGTGGACATCGGCGTGAAATATCCGTTGGACGTGGAAACTGGAACGTACCTAAACGGTGTCCTAGGACTTCCCACGACGGGCTCGTAGTGATGGCCAGCCATATTGTATACAGATATCTATCTTCATTAGCTCCAAACAACTTGCCCCACCCGGATAAATGAACCCACAAACTCAGATATCTGTCATGCGCACGAACGGACTTATCGTAGCAGCAAGAAGGCAAGCCAAAGAAAACGTATTCTCGACTGTTTTGCTCAATTATATCTCTTCGGCAATGATCCGGTGCATTCAATATATCCGGCAGCCCAATCCCACAATTATCAACGACGACAATTAGAAACCCTAACCCTGCAGCTGAGTACCGAGTGCAGACCGGCAAACGGCGAAAAAGGAAGTACTCATAATATCATAGTTTCCCAAATAAAACATATTTGGTCAACTTGTCTCTCGGAGTGACCCATGTTTGCGACTCCCCCGGTTCACCAAAGCCGCATATGCATCTACATCAGAGACCGGGCCACCGAAATCGACCCTCACGGCCACCAAATCTAACGAACAGGCCCCGGCGACAACAAATCCTTTGGAGGAAAGATGTGTAATAGGACTACTTAATCTGGTAAACTCTATTTTCGATCAAGTGGCCACTGATCTGGAACGGTGGAGGGGGGGCATCTTGGGAGCGGAGAACACACATTTAGTTTTTTGCCGAGGCGCTATCATACTTGTACGAGTACATTTTTGTATGTAACTGATTACTAAGCGGAAAAGTGTGACCAAGCGCTGGTTCTGGGTTTTCGCACTGCGAATATCATAGGAAATCAAGAGGCCGCCAAGGTTTAACTTAGCTGCGCATCAATCCGGGTTAGCGTTTTTTTACACCAGCATGCCACTACCGGTGTACTTGTACCTATGTTCAATCTAACCCAACTTATCTCAAAAAAAAAAAGTCCACAGTTCACTCATTTATTTACGCCTTCGGTATTTACAACTCTTTGGGTTGACGAAACTTCCAGACGGCACTGGAACAGGGCGGAACTAACACGTATCGCATCCATGCCAAGTGAGCGAGCAGGATGGTGTACGTTAAAACTGGGGATCTGAACAACCCAACTTAAACGCAACTCGTAAAGTATTCGGACGCCTTGGCGCCAAAATAGTTACTATCCTATGCCTAGCTGTCCGGATACTTTATGAATTGGTGAGTGGTACGGGGGTAGGACGAACGAGAGGGTAACTTGGGAAGGCAGCTATTAGACCAGGCACGTGTGCGCACGGGCCTAGCGGTTGCGGCGAGAAAGCATAGGAGTACGAGTAGAGTAATAAAGCCGCCATCATACTAGCAATGTGTAAAGGGTGTGATAAAGCCGCGGAGTAAGGTCAGAGACATATTTTTTCCCGATACATGGCCCAAGGTTCGCTTACGCTTGTACGAAAGGAGAATTAATCACCAGCTCACGAATTGACGGGATGTGTTCATGAACTGTCACTCGATTCTGGATTTATCCTGAGGATTTCCGCCACCCTCCGGGAAGGGCGAAGGACATTCTCTTGGTGGTTCCCGATTGCGGTGGTCAAAAAAGGCTTGTTGAGGGAATTTTTGACGGGGCTTAGCCGGAGACCGGGGCCGGGGCAAACAGTGCTTTCAGGTACTGTACACCGGCCGGGATCATATCCCTTGAAAATCGGTAAGACAACCCTTCTACTCCAGGGGTGGTTGATGCTGGAGATAATAGGACATGATTCGGAAGGAAGTATCGTTATCTGCAGGAGTAACATGGTGGTACAGTTTCGCGGGGGGTTCGCTCAGCACTTTGCCTTCCGGCGTGGTCTTGGGATCTGACGTCCGGTTTCTGTGGGCTTGAATTTGGTTCTTGGGGAGGAGGAGGTGAAAGCCGTGAGCTTGCACCGGGAGCACTTTGAACATAAGCTCGACTGTGGGGCGGGTTGTTGGTGTCGGATCGTTTTGAGTTATTATTTCGAGTCATTATTATTATTGGTACGCCCGTCATTTTTAGGAATCATCGACCGGCTTGTTTCCCACGCGAGGACTCGGTTTGGTAAATGTGCTCTGGTGAAGCGAGCCGCGAGGTGCGACGTATTGTGGTATTTCTGCGAAAGTTCAAGTGTACGGTACTTTCCGGTGGAGCGCTGATAGAGCACATCTCTCTGCTTCTGAAACTGTAAATCTAAGCTCTTACGATTCTAGAAGCGTGGCTTTGGGTATCACACAACTGCGAATGGCTTTCCCCACCCCTGCGCCGTTAGAGCAGGAGTAATTGAACATCACGCTGGGGTGTTGGGGTGCTTCTCATAGTAAGGTCTGTTATCATAATAATATTATCATGTTTTTTCCTTCTATTTGGCTTGGCGGACGGCAGGAAGTTGCTTTTTTTTTTTGGGGGGGGGGGTGATCCCACTCCTTTAGCCAAAGAGAGCAATTCTGGACATCTTAGCCCGGGGTTCAATTGTATTCCAGTTTATGGTACGGTGAATTAAGTAAATAGAATTAGTCTAGTCTGGGGCTGAATTAAGCGAGCGAATAGGATGTTATCAAGTTCAGCCGCATGGCAATCTTGGCAGGCATCTGCCAAGCCTCGCTGCGTCATTTCTCGACATACTTGGCTTCTCTGAAGAAAAGTAGGAAAGGAACACGCCAACAGACGAACACAAAACAAGGATGGACGGTAAAAACAACCCCATCACAGAATCTCCCGGGTCAGGCGTACCGCCTCCGCTGCCCCCACGGGGGATGGTTATTTCGCGGTCTCCGCCACCAAGTTATTCTCTCCTACCATCGACCGAGAATTCGTATCCGTACTCGCTCTCGGAGGAAGATTACAATCCGGCAATGCGTGCCCCCATGACCTTCAAATCTCCTCCGGACTCTGTCCCGAGTGGGAAGCGGAAGCTCCTTTTGGTCTACATCCACGGCTTCATGGGCAACGAAACAAGCTTCCAGAGTTTTCCCGCCCACCTGCACAACCTGTTATCCGTCACTTTGGAGGACTTGGGCTGGGGCGTTCACACAAAGGTGTATCCAAAGTTCAAGACCAGGAACAACATTTCCCTCGCAACAGAAGGGTTTTCGAGGTGGCTCGCGCAGTTCGAGAACCCGGGCACGGACGTGATATTACTTGGCCACTCCATGGGGGGGATTCTGGCGGCGGAGGTGGTGCTGTTGAGGGATGAGCGAGGGGGATTTAAGCATAGGATTTTGGGGGTCGTGACGTTTGATTCGCCGTTTTTGGGGATGCATCCTGGGGTTATATCTGCTGGACTGGGGAGCCTCTTTAGGTCGGAGGGGAAGAGCCCCCCAGAAGAGAGCGGGTCAGGTGAGGGTGGGGGGGTGTACGCAGGGGAAAATTCGAGTATGGCTTCGTTGTCAACGGTGCATTCTGGGAGTACCGTGGATGAGTTTTTTGATAAGAGACCCGAGCGGAATTTCACGATTGTGCAAAGTAAGCAGGGTATGTGCTAAATGACAATATCCCTACTCGCGGTGTAGGTGCTAACGGGGGTACTAGAGGGGACTTGGGATTCAGCACTGAAGTTTATCACTAAGCACCATTCCCATCTTACAGCTGCGACGGGGCAGTACTTGATGTCGCATCTTGAGTTCGGGTTCGTTCTCTACACTGGCCGCCGTCTGTGCCGAAACCACTAACCTAATTGAAATAGTGGCTGCCTTGCCGATCCCTCTGGCCTGAAAAACCGCTATAACGCCATCCGGAAACTCGAAACTGGCATGCAAACCGTAGACGGTAAAACAACCCGCGTTCGTTTCATAAACTACTACACATCCTCCACCGGACGCTCCAAGGATCCGCCGAAACCCGCACCCGCAGCCGTGCACCCGGAGCACTCGTTTGACCTCGCGGACGCGGGGGTGGAGGGGTCGGGCGGTAGCGAATTACAAGAGATGACGCGGGAAATGCACCTAGGGGTCAACCCGTCTGCCCCTAGAACGCACTCCAGGAACCTTAGCACAAGCACTATCTCCTCAGATGGGGAAATGACACAACTGGACCCCGATCCGATATCCGGTAGCGGGGAATTCGGTGAAGCGCAGGAAAAACAAAGGGGATCTACCCCGGTACCTGCAATAGAAACTACAATGGTGGGGCCTGAGCCCTTGATGCTTGACCATGCCCTTCCTTCTATCCCCTCTTATTCCTCACCGGCGCCTCCGGCAGTCTCCCCGCCGCCACCCAAGCCCACGGAATTTGACTACTCTCAGATCCCGGATGCAACCGTGCGTAAAGCGGCTGAGAAGGCGGCTGCAAAGGCTATGAAACTGTGGGAGAAGAGTGTGAAAGACTACGAGAAAGTAGTCAAAGACTGGGAAAAAGCAATCGAAAAGAACGAGCGGAAGAAACACGAGAAGGCAAAGAAGGAAGGGAAGAAACCGGCCAGTCAGCACGACGGTGAGGTGGAGAGACTACGGTTAGAGAGGGAAAGAATGGAACGGGAAGAGCGGCGATTAAAAGGCATTCCGGGACCACCTATTTACAACGCAGCCGGAGAGAGCACTGCCTCACTGAAAACTTTACCGTCCCCCTCCCCCTCTCTGTCGCCAACTCCCTCGCCGACTCGTTCCCCAACACCAACGCCCGAAACACCGAAAAAGAAGAGGCGCGAGAGGAAATTCTGCCTGACCCCGCGCACTCCGGATGCCTGCTGGGTCAAGGTTGAAATGACGGGGGTGGACGAAGTTGGTGCTCATTGTGGACTTTTCTTTTTGGGCGATGTGTATGAGAGGCTGGTTGGGGATGTTGCCGGGAGGGTTGAAGGGTGGGTGGGGGAAGAGGGTACTAGGCGGTTGTTGGAGGGGGAGGGGGGAGCTGATGCGGAATGTGGCTTTGGTGGTGGTGGTTGGGAAAGTGGAGTTGGATGGGTGAGGTAGTGTTGAGGCGGAGGAGGAAAGGAGGGAGTGATGGTACCGTGAACTCATTTATGTTATCTAGGTTCGGTACTGACTGCTAGTAATTCTGATATCTTTGCAAAGACTTCTACAATGGGGATGAAGTATTAGACCACCTTTTCACCTCGGATAGTCACTTCCACCCCTGACCTAAAGTATTATTAAACCCCATATCTCTCTCCTCGGAGACCTCAACACCTCTCAACTATTGCAATCACGATTCTGGTCTCGGACGACCCAACTGTGCCATGCCCGCGTGGTTGGTGCGCCGGGAAGGTAAAACTTAAGGAAACAATTGCTGGGTATATACCTCCTGTGGGCCAATAGCCCTGCTCTCACCCCTTTTTGCTGATCTACTATGACCATCCGCTGATATTAAAAACGGATCAAACATATAATCAAGCCAGTTAGGGTTAGGGTTTTATTTATGAGATCTATCCGAGCTCCGCAAAGATGGGATGTATGGTAGCCTGAACTATGAGACTTCCAATATCGGGGGTATTATGGATCACGTGTAAGAAAGAGGGGGCGGTGGAAATCACTGGATGGTGTGGAATGGAACACTTGGAGGAGGTAAATTAGATGGATATGCTTGCGGGATTGGACGGGATTCTGCAGGCTTAACTAGATGTTAACTTGATGAATGGATGACAAGAAAGCAAGACAAGAAAACACGAGGATATTAACAACGTCTAAGTAGAACGCCTAGGGAGAAGAAAAGGCGAAGAAGGAAAAGTTAAAAGAAAATGGTATATATCGCAAACCGTTAGCTGAAACGGGGGGCGTTGTGGGCACCAAAGCGTTACTCGGAAACTATCTATGGAGTGAGGATAGGTCTGGTGAAGAAAAAGGAACGATATAAGTGAGAATGGCTAAGAGACAAATTAATGAGGCGATGATGGTATAGCGGTCGAGAGCAAGGAGGGGGGTTGGTCCGGTGTTTGGGTGAGTGTCGGTTTTGCTTGGGGAGTGCAGGGGCGATATGGCAGGAGATTGACACGGGGCGGGCGGTTCGCTTGGGGGAAGGTCGTTATCTGTGGACGTGGGAACAGGGTCATTGATGTCCGGTATCCCATCCTGCTCACCAGGGTCTGCCGGTGAGAGGTCTGTGGTGTCTGTGCTAGGATTGTGAGATTGGAATTGGACCTCCGTAGGGGACGCATCCTCACGCCCAGCGGAGGGTAGGAGTTGTGCCTGGCCAGTGGAATCAGTTGTATCGGAGTTGATATTTTCCCGTTCCCGTAGGATCCTCGCAATTTCCTCATGGCCCTCGGAAAGAGCCCAACATAATGGTGTTTTGTTCTCGTTGTCTGGCGTGGTGGTGCGGATGCCTTTTCTTTCTAAAAGCAGCTTTACGATTCCCACATACCCTCGACCAGCCGCCCACGAGAGCGGTGTACGGCCATGGCTAGTGTCTGCCGTATCGGGATTAACATCTGCTCGTGCCAAAAGAATCTCCACTACCACCTTATGCCCCTCCCTAGCGGCCCACGAGAGTGGTGTCTGGCCATATTGGATGTCTACCTTGTTGGGGTTGACATCTGCTCGCTCCAAAAGCATCTTTAATACCGCCTCGCGTGCGAACCCAGCGGCCCACGAGAGTGGTGTCCGGCCGCATGGGGTGTCTGCCTCGTCGGGATTGACATCCGCTCGTTCTAAAAGCATCTTTACTATCACCTCATGCCCGGTGGCTGTGGCATACGAGAGTGGTGTCCGGCCATATTTGGAATCTGCCTGGTCGGGATTGACATCTGCTCGTGCCAAAAGCATCTTTACTATCACCTCATGCCCCCAACTAGCGGCCCACAAGAGTGGTGTCCGGCCATATTTGATGTCTACCTTGTTGGGGTTGACATCTGCTCGTTCCAAAAGAATCTTGACGACCCCATCATGTCCAGACTCGGCGGCCCACGAGAGTGGTGTCCGGCCATATTTGGAATCTGCCTGGTCGGGATTGACATCTGCTCGTGCCAAAAGCATCTTTACTATCACCTCATGCCCCCACATAGCGGCGCGCGAGAGTGGTGTCCAGTCATACCTAATGTCTAACTTATTAGGGTTGACATCTGCTCGTTCCAAAAGTATCTTTACGACCCCATCATTTCCGCACTCAGCAGCCAACGAGAGTGGTGACTGGCCATACCTGGTGCCTGCTAGGTCGGGATTGACACCTTCCCGTTCCAATAGCATCTTTACTACCTTATCATGCCCTCTGGCGGCTGCCCATGCGAGAGCAGTGTTCCCCGTGATATCAGTTGCATTAACATCCCATTCCCTCATCTCCAATATAGAACCAACTATTCCCACAACCCCGAGAAACGCTACCCCATGGAGCCCGGTAAATCCCGCAGGTCCTCCAGTCGGGTCAAAAACAGGGCAACAGCGGCTCTGACGAGTATAGCGCAATAATATCAGTTGAGCAGATATATGCTTATCGAATCCATGAAGAAGCTTGAGTGCAAGCGCTTTCACACTTTCTGTCATCCCCTTTGTTGTATGATCCCCCCAGTAATAAGAACAATACCCTAGAAAGGGCGTTGTTGAGGGTGCCGAATCGAGAGTTGGAGAAAGATCCTTGACACTTGTGAAATTGAGGTATGTCAAGCAAACCTCCGCAATTGTCGCGTGGTGGTTATGGAACAAGGTCGGATCACTTGAGAGATGTTCTTTCAGGGTATAGTGCACCAGTCGGACCGTGGATGAAGACGAATCGACTACAACAAGGCCCAGGGAAGACGATAAAAGTGTCCGTATTGTTGGAATGTTTTCAGGATCGAGGTCTGTAGATCTCACTTCCACCCCCAATGCATGGCAGAGCTCTACTGTGCGTAATGGCCGTTCCGAATACAGCACCCACATTAGGACTTTTAGTCCAAGTATTGATTTATCCCCCTTCTGCGCTCTCACTCGGTTTAGAGTTGCTGTGTATGCAGCGCCCAATCCGGTGCCCCGTGTCATCTCTTCAAGTTTCTTTCTTCTCTGACGAATTGTAACCCCCCCAAGAATATTGTCGATGTTTAGCGAAACAAGGAGGAATCTACACAGAATCGGTGGTAAGTATACATCATCGATAGGTTGCATGGTCTGGCGTACATATCAGATATCCTTTCCGAGATAATCCTCATAATATCCCGCCGTAAATCATCGTTCATCACGTCCGGCTCGGGGTCGTTGTCTAACCTCATCTCAAGATAGTTCTTGATATCGTCCGTGTTTGGACTGATTGGTATCAAAATTACGTTGCCAAAACATCTTTGAATCTCTTCCCTGACATGCGGCCTCCCGGTGAGGAATATTCGAGTTCTAGGGGACTCCCGGACAATATCCCTCAGTGACTTAAGAAGGTCCGGCAGATGTTTCGGTAAGCATTCATCCAGCGCATCAATGCAGATGAAAAGTTGGGGTAGAGAGGCAATAGCGATTCTCATCATTCTCATCAGCTCTGGAAGTCGTGGCCCTCTTCCACCAAACCTATTTTTCGCTTCTTGAAACGCCTTGCGTAGAAAATTCGGGATTTCTCCTCCACCGACAAGCTGCTTCAGAATTGCTCCCATCATATTGGCGATTGTCTGGTCTCCCTGAGCAAGGAAGTCGCAGTACAAGCATGCAACGATCATACCCTCCTTCCCTTCCCCCTCGTACAAGCTGTCAATCACCAGTGAGCTGATTTTTTTCTCGCCGTTAGCCATATTCGCCCGGTTCTAAGAGTCGTGCCACTTACCTCAGATACGTTTTGCCCACTCCCGGATTCCCGGAGCAAAACAGGATAGCCTTATCTGCTCCGCCCTCACACTCTCTCCACTCGCAAAATTCTCCCGTTTCCAAAAGTCAATCCCCGACCTCGTCGAATCGGTCGTTGCGAACGCCTTGGTGTCGGTTAATTGGCTCTAGTGGGGAGAGCCAGCGCATTATCTGCGCATCCTCATCGGATTTGTAGACGTTCGTGTTGAAACAACCTGTCATGTTGCCGCTGTTCGCGTTGCCGTCGCCCATGTTGACGGATAGGTTATATGTAGTCTGGGCCATGATATTCTGTCTGGAGTGTTGTTTGAATGTAGAAATAGTATAGTGAGTTGTTGAGAACCTCGTATCGGGGGCGTTTTGGAAGCGATCTGTCGGAGAGCTGAGGAAAGAGGCGTGATCTGGCTTGTGCAACAATTACTATCCAATCATCCGTGAAGGGCACATTATATGTGACTAATACTAGTCAAGTCACACGAACACAGGGGAGGTGGCTGTGTGCGCGCGATGTGTTTACCGGTATCAGGAACTTTCTAGGTTTTCTATTGTATTACTGTACGGTTATTGAAATTTTGTGGTTAGCCGGGGACTAGATTGTGTGGTAGTGCTTTCTCTTGAACAATTGACGCCTGGCTCTTCTCTCTCTCTAACCTATGTATTTCGTGAGTTTGCCATTCTTGTTTATGAGATTGGGTTCCTTCTGATCTTTTGTGTATTGCACCTCCAGCATTCCCGCCATCTACTATCTGCTGCATTGTGGAGGTCCGAACGGAGGTGGTCCTGGGCTGTGTGCCGGGTTGTGTTGGAAAGAAGTAGTAGCACGCATGTTGCTAAGCGAAAATGCGGGGAACAGGATGTGGTTTGCGGGATATAGCTGTGGACATCATTAATTTGGAGGGCCATTTTTAGGCTTCCGCGTGGTAGTTCCCCCAGAGAGGGCGGCGGTGTTGATCACAGCTTACTACAACCGAGTTTGAGCGCGATACCACCGTACTGTAGACTACTTGCGAGGGTGGTTGGCGGAGAGTGGCTGGTGAGTATTAAGTTAAGATTCCATATGATAAATGACCGATCACCCATCAGAATCGCGAAATACCCCACGAAGCACAGAATACCAACAGCATCTTCAATGGCGTAGCGCATAAGGACTTGTGCTTCAGCCTAGCCTCACCTCACCCCCCCCCATCTCAATTTTGAATTCCAGTATCACCAAATAATTCCGCTTCCACAAGCCGCCAGAT